TCTAGTGGTAGAATAGTATCCTGCCACAGTATAGACCCCGGTTCGATTCCCAGATGGTGAATCTTTTTTTTACATAATTAAAATACCGACCAACTTTGGTCGGAAAAAACCGACCAACTTTGGTCGGTTTTTTTTGTAATATTTTTTTTTTGAATTTAATTGACCGACCAAAGTTTGTCGGTAATTTCCGACCAACTTTGATCGGTATTCCTTTCCGACCACAAAAATACCGTCCACACGTAAATGGTCGCATTTTGGTCGGTTTTTGGCCATTACCGACCAACGTTGGTCGGTTGTTTTGGTCGGTTTTTACCGAATTTCTAGTAGTGAATTATAACACATCATATTCCGTTGCAGCGGGCAACCCGATCCCACATAAATATAATATTTGTTGTGGCGTGCAACCCGATCCCAATATCAATTCATTTAAAAAATATTGCGGTGCGCAACACGTTCACAATATCACCTCATTAACATAAACAACTCAATACAACCAATAACGTAATCTCAACACAAAAGATAAATGAAGCGTACAGAACATCAAGGGACTATCGGTACAAATAGAGAATAATCAATACCTCGTAATCACATACCTCGACATTTCATTAATACAAGAACAACTAAATGGCTCATGTAATCGGATCTAACATGATAAAGTGTAATGAGTAACGTAAAGGCAATAAAGTCAAGTAAAGACATGAGACAATAAAGATGTACAATTAACACAGGTAGTAACATATAACAGCTAAGCAGATATTGAGTGAGAAATGAATAAATCAAAACAGGTAACAACTAAATGTCAGGTAACAAGTAAGGCATGGATACCAAGTAACATCGTGTAGCAATCAAAGTATGTAACAAGAGATAATATGGAATAGGTGATGACATAAAGGTAAATAGCCCAACCCGCATGCTTTTACCCATGACAACGTATATACACTCGTCACCTCGCATATACGCCGTCCCCACACATAATTCACGAAGTAAATAGATCAACAAATCCTAATTTCCTCAAGTCAAGGTTAAACACGATTATTACCTCTTTCCGTAACCAAATTAATACTCAACCATGACTTTTCCTTTAGAACAAGCTTCCAAACCAACCGAATCTAGCCAAATATCATTCAAACAATTCAAAATAAGCTTTAGAAACTACCCACGAGTGAAAATGATTCAATTTTTAGCTAAATTGAAAAGTCAACAAAAGTCAACCCCGGGCTCGCTTGGTTAAAATCCAATATCCGAACCAAAACCCAATTATCCATCTACCTCCAAGCCCGATTATGTAATTTATTTTGAAATCCAACCTCAATTTGAGGTCTAAATCTCAATTTTACATAATCCCTAAATTCTTTCCAAAACCTCTAATTTCTACCATATAGTTAATAGATTTGATATTAACAACTCATGAAAAGTAATGGAGAATTGATAGAAAATGAATTAGAGTTGCTTACCAATGAATTTGGGAAGAAAAGTTTTTCAAAAATCGCCTCTAGAGTGTTTGGGGATTGAGAAATGGTGTAAAATGAGCTAAGTCCTCTCTTTTCCCTCTTTTACCCAATTGCAGGTATCGCAATTGCGAACTCTTGTTCCCAATTGCGAAGCTTGCATTTTGCGAAATACTAATCGTGGTCAACTTTAGCCTCAGTTACCAAGAATGTTGACCGTGGTCAACTGTAGCCTCATTTTAAGTCAAAAGTTATATTTTCTTCAAAGTTTTACGTAAAACATTATGGAAAATGACAGGGATCATGCACGGAAATAAAAAAAATCAAATGAAGTTATGAGAGGTCTCGGAACACATAAATTAAGGCTAGTACTCAAAATGACCTATCGGGTAGTCACAATCTCCATATCTAAAAGAAACATCCGTCCTCGAACGGACATAGAAACGTATCTGGACTGGTAAAAAAGTAGGGTATTTACTCTGCATATCAGACTCGTACTCCCATGTAGCCTCCTCAATTGTCTGACCTCTCCATTGCACTTTCACATAAGGAAAAC